CAACAAGAATACTTTCATTTCTTCTCCTAAAGTTTCTTATTTCCCTCTTCTCTAAGTAAGATTAGGATTAGATTTAGAATTTGTTAAAAAAAAAGAGAAAGATATACCTTTGAACCCATCAAATCTTGGGTTTAAGAAGTTGCGCATGTGATATGTGTTCTTTGTCAGTGGTTAACAAAACTTCTAAACAAATAATACATTGTAATAACTCTATACTATTAAAAAAAGATGCATCTTTCACAATTAATGGTATGTTTTATGATGCGCATTCAATTTATGTGCTAAAAAAGAGAAAGGTGTGTTTTACAAAATACGTTATTTTTAGATTTTATTATTATAATTTTATTTTAGATCATTGGTTTATGATTTTAGGGTTAAACGATTTTAGTGATTTTCTGTAACACCCCCAACCCGTACCCGACCCGAATACGAATCCGAGGTGTCACATTTGACTTTTCAAAACTTGACTCTTATAAAAATCTAAACTTTCATTAAAATAAAATTTGTTAATTTACATATGTTGGACCAAATAATACAAAATCGATCAGAGCATGTGTAATTCACAACTTGTTTACATGCCAACACATTTAATACAACAAAATACATACTTTGCAAATTACTTCTGATCTGAACTGCTGGTGGAGTTATGTTGTCCCTGCAACTCCTAATTTTGATCCTTCTGCTTCTTGGTACCTACGTGTAAACCACTTACACGATAAGTCACAAACTTAGCGAGGCAGAATAGAATATGTAACCATGAATTTATAAAACATGCATTACTATAAATCAATCGTGACATTGCAATTTACATGTATCTACTAAACTATAACATATATGATTATGATATGCACATATGAAACTTAACTTCTTATAAGGGTTTCCATTCAATTTATCTTTAGATGCCCATGTACGTTATTGAGAACAGGAGGTACGTGAGTACACTGAGGTTGTGCACTAATGCTGTCACCACAGCTCGAATAAATTCCCACTAGGGGCACTTAAAATTTGTCCCGAAGGACCACTTATAACCCTCGACTCTTGGCATGCCAATTATACCTACAACTCTCATATTATATAGCATGGGCTTAAATATGGATATATTTCACATTTTCATATCTCTTTTATCACTTTTCATATAAACACATCATTCACTTCACATGTACACATATGATCACTTTTCTTATTACACATACTTGGATTTGTTCTCTTATGATTGCATACATTACATATTCTATCATATTAAAGTACTTAAGAGTTATGTAAGTACTCATTATAATCATAACATATGCATGTATATGAAAAAGGAAATCATGAAATCCAATATAAGAAATAGACTTATCACAAGTCTTATCTCCATTGAACTATATCTATAATATGGACTCACCTTAGCCTCACTTGATTCGAATCGATTCTAAAACTTTATCTCTCTCTCAATCGTTTCTAATTCTTCAAAACCTGATTTTCCTTGATAGACAGAAGTATCACTACCTGATGAATAAGTATCGACACCCACATCCCATATTTTCCTTTTTAAGTCAGAAAATTAATCCATATCAACTTAAATTCTTCATGTTTCATTCCCTTTCATACTCTTAACTCAAATACACATGCTTAAACCCATTTGTACTCATTTATCACATTTTTACCTTCAAAGTTCTATCCTCTACATGGAATTCAAGAATCATAATTCTAATTCCAATTCTAACACTTCATACTTCTTAATTAGGTTGATGACAAGTCAATTCCAGTTTCAAACTTTATTTACTAATCCTCTTCCAAGATTTCACTTATTCCCCTCTTATCTTTAATCCTTCCTAACTTCCTTATCTTTTGATTTTAAGATGACTTAAGCTTTCCTTAAGCTTAAGTATCATATAATGATCAAAACCCATGCTTAACTTTGACTAATAATCAACTAACAAGAAAACTCACATTTGATGCTACCACCGTACCAACCTCCATCTCATATGAACAACATTAGCATAGACGTAATGTACACACATGAAGTAATTGATATGCATTATTTAAGAATAGTTGTTATTGAATCCTATGTCGGTGATGGTGAATCACGTTTTAGAATTATGTTTTTAATAAAACAATTTATGACATTAATGGTAAAAGAGAATATTACTATTTTTAGAGGTTATGAGTTCGAGTAGTTGTATCTATAGAGTGTGTGTTGTCAATTGATTAAGAAATTTTTATGCATATACTATCTTGTAATTACCCCAGACTATTAAAACATAAAACAACTTGCAATGAAAACATTAAAAAACTACAACATATGTCACTCATTGCAGAATCAAAAAGGTTAATGATGTCAAATATGTACGTGATTTTACGAAGCACAACTACGGTTGCAGTTGAATGATATGTAAATAGTAGTAGTAGAAGAAGAAATACAACAGTCCTCGTACATGATATACTGGAGGGATGAGTTGGGATCAAAGTATCCCTTAAGGTAAATGTAACATTTCCGCTACATCATTTGTTATGCAAAAGCATGGCATGTGATACAAAAGAGGATTGCAAAATTGTATAGAGAGTGGGATAAATTTTATAACGAGCTACCATTTCGAATTATGATTATGGAGAAATAAATCATTAATTCAAATTGAAAATTGACCATGTTTATGATAATGATCGCATGATTAATGATTGTTGTTAATTCTACCATATGTTTTGAATATTTTTGTAATGTGTTAATGCATTTCAATTGTACAAGTCAATAGTCCAAGCTTATAACATCTAAATGTACAAAAAATGTATATACATATATAGTTAGTCATAGTTGCACAACCATTTCGATTGTATTTTCTAGTGTTGAAAAGAAAGATACAAACTTCCAAGAATTTTTCCTCACAAATTTACATGACCATGTTATCAAATGAGGTAATATTTTCCTAATATATGATCGAGGAATTAGGATTATGAAAACAATCAAGCAAATGAGTGTCATATGACAAGCTCAACATACGCACCATCGGTTTTGTGTCCAACTTATTACATCAAATTATCTTACAAATTTTAAAAAGAATGATGAATGCCAACTAGTTTTATGTATGGGTACATATCATTCTTTTTAATTTAACACAATACAACATAGTCATATTATTTTTTTTATAACTAAGTATTCATGATTACTTAAGGTGCGAGTTACTTTTTTAACACCTTAATCTATTTCGATCAGAAATTCAAAATATTTGAATATTACACGAAACCATTAAATTGGCTAACAATCTTTTTAAAAAAATAATAACATTATAAATCCTCAATCCTCATGAAAATCATAACATAACCATAAGTTTAAAACATAAATTCTTATAGTTTACAAAATGGGGCTCCAAACAATACACCTCAAAATACAAGAGTTTATCAAAACAGAGATCACGACTCAAATACACATAAGGTCTATGAAAATACATGCTCACTAAGATATTCGATACATACTCTGAAAATCGATCAAGTCTGAAATCTATTGTCTGATGATGAGTCTCTCGAACTGGCACCTAAGAACCTACGCATGAAAATAAATTTCGAACGTTGAGGTCACAAACTTAGTGTCACACAAATATCACTATTATATTACATGCATTCACCAATTGAGCATGCTATAGGTATAGTCATGAACAATAGTGCACCAAACACACAACACGGGTAAGCATCAAGGTGTAGTACAGGGCCACACAACTTCACAAAACTTAAACTCCTCTTGGCTTACCAAGGGTACTCTGGGTAAGACCTGGGTCACATAGCATCATCTTCTTACGACCAAATGGCACTCATTTCCAAGTACCTTGGATGAGATTTGGGTCATGTAACACCTACATCTTGCTTAACTAACCTACTCCTCTAGAGTACTTGGGACACGTTTGGGTCATTAAGCATCATAGTGACATCCAACTAGTGTGAAAAGTGCCCTGACACTTAGTTAGGTATATTAAGATATTTTTCAACACTAGACAATCTTTGTATATAAGTAACTCTAGTGTGTTCATCGTATCCCGAGTTTCAAATAATGACATAAGTCTTATAGAATCTTACCTCATAATATTCTTAAGCTTATCAAACAATAGTTAATTCTTCCACTTGCAAGCTTTTATTTAGAGGATTCCTCAATTCTAACCCTTTTCTAGGTCCCTTGTTTGAAACAAGGCTTCTAGTCTTTTTATTTATGCTAATATCGATACTCAACCTTATAGTATTGTTCTCTTATGTTATCGATAATGTAACACCCCAAATACTAAGCTAGTAGTTTTTGGATTAACCGAGAAATATGTGGACCTCATGAAGTTTATAATTAGAGTCGTTGAGCCAAGTTGGGCTTAATTGGATTTGGAATTGAGCCCAAAAGGGTTATAAAAAGGGGGATTTTAAATATGATGCAAAATGTGAATGACTAAAAGTGTAATTTTCCCATTTAATCCTCCTTCATCTTCTTCTCTCCATTTTCCTCTTTCTCATTTCCTTCTTCTTCTTCCTCCTCTCCATGTGTCATAGTTGAAGGTGAGTCTTTGAGCCCTTTTATATTTATTCTAAGCTTCATTTTCATCCTCAATCCCTCCAGCAAACTTGTTTTAATGATTCAAAGTCTTGGGTTCTTTATTTGTAAGAAAAAGTCGGGATTTGTCATCCAATCACTAGAGGAGAGTGTTTGGTTGTTCCATACGGCAAAATAGGGTTTTAACGGTATTTTTAGCGGCGTTTTGAGAGAAAACGTTGCTAATTTTTATACATATCGAGGCGTTTATTAAAAAAACCACAAATGACAAATTTTGCAATGTTTTTAAGCAAGACGCTGCTATAGATTGATATATGATGGTCTTTTTTAGGAAAGCTACTATAAATGCGTACTTTAGTGGCGTTTATCAAATAAACACCACATTAGGGATCCAATATAGTTTTGTATGCGATTGTACAATACTTTAGTACCGTTTTGTAAAAAAAAAACGTCGCAATTATTCATTACTTTAATTGCTTAGACTTTAGGGTTTCCTCTATTCGTTCCCTTCATTCCTTCTCTGTTTCTCATTTATATCTATTCCTTCTCACCGCTAAGAGCCGCTGTTTTTACCACGTTCAACCTCCGATGTCCATATCCTTTCAACGATTGAAGCTCCACATATCCTATTTTGAGGGAACTCTGATCTCTCTCGTCTGATTTCCTACTATTCCCCAAATCCCGTAATCCTTTTTTTTCTTCACGTAAGGATCGATTTCATTAATCCTTTATTTATTTGTATTCATCCCTTGAATTCTCTTTTGTCAAAACCTTTTATTGGGGTTTTTAAAATTTAATGTATGGATGATGTTTTCTTATTTCCATTTTTCTTTTTCTTGATCTTTATTCAGTTTTTGTATTCTTTTGGAATTTTTTTTAGTTTGTTAAATTGCCCATGAAAAGATTATTACATCCTGTCGTCTTCTTTCTTCTTGAATAAAAAAATTAAAAAAAAGTTCAATTTAAAACAATATTCCAAGTGTTTTCTTAATATTATAGCTTTGTCTCAATGGAGAAAATTAAACAAATGTTCTGCAGGAGATATATGCCATCAGATGGAGTTCTATTGGACTTCGGATAAACAATCCTAACCGCCTGTTAATTCTTGCTAGGTAAAATTTAGGAATAATTGAAAATTTTCAGTTTGTATTTTTTGGTAGATTATGATTTGTGTGCACACCTTTCATATCTTCATTGTTAGGTCTAATATTTGATGCCATTAGGTTAACCAACTTGACTCAGCAATCTCGAAAAAGATAGCCAAGCTACTCGTTGTGCCTTTCGACTGTAAGCATTTTGATTCTTCAATTTTTACTAAGTTTTCAATTCCTTTGTGGTGATTGTTTTTCCTTTAGCTGGATTTTGCTTAGAACAAATTCTGATAATTAGGACTTTAGTGTGTGAAAATCTAGAATTGTTTATACTATCTTACTAATACTTGGGTGTGAGTATCAGATTCGATTATACGTCACAACTCGATTATAGTTAGATTTTCATAAGTATTTTCGTGTATGTGAGCGGAATTTGACTATGTGTCACAGTTCGGTTATAATTAGAAATATAAAAGAAAAGTTGGATCCACTGGGTCAAATGGTCGATAGTCTGTAAAAAGAAAGATTTTGGGGGTTTGGGTATTTCCGATTTAAATTTGAGGAATAGGGCTCTTTTGGGAAAATGGGTGTGTAAGTTTAGTAGTGAGGAGTCTTGGTGGAAGAGGTTGGTTTGTTGCAAGTATAAGTTAGAAGATCTATTGCGATGGACAATTATACATCCTCCCTTGCGTCTTGGCTATGGAAAGGAGTCATAAACAACTATCGGTCGAATGATGCTTTTGGATTGTATTTTCGTAATCATCTTATGTTACAAGTGGGGAAGGGAGAGTCCATTTTGTTTTGGCATGATGGTTATGTAATACACCTTTGAAGTCTAAATATCCTAGGTTGTTCGCTTTGTCAGTTAAAAGGATGGGGTAATTGCGAACTACGGGAGTTTTAGCAATGGGAGGTGGGTTTGGGACATTCAATTGAGAAGGAATTTGATGGAGAGTGAGTTTGTTTTATGGTATGAATAGATTCTTCTGCTGGACAATGTTCGTCTTGATTCGAAGGTGGATGATTGCTACACTTGGAAGGGTAACAGGGAAGGTATTTATTCGGTTAAATCTTGTACTAATTTAATCTCTACCTTGTCCACTCCGGAGCTGTGTTGGTATATAAGTTTGTTTGGGCCGGTTTAATGCCTCCAAAAGTAGAGGTGTTTATTTTGCAGGTTCTCCACCAGAAGTTGGCAGTAAAAACTTCCTTATTGAGGCGGGGTGTTCGAGGTATTGAGGATTCTATCTACTCGGTTTGTGGTGAGGATACAGAGTCGGTGAGCCACTTGTTTTTTGCTTGTAATGTTGTTTGGGGGATTTGGGTGAGGTTTCTTCCAGAAGTTTTATGTTTTTCTGGTTGGATTTAGTTCCGGATTCGAAAATTTGGAAATTTGTTTCGGGTGTTGTTTTGTGGACTGTGTGGAAATGCAGAAATGATATTGTGTTCGAGAAGGGTAGGTTGGATATATTTAAGTATTTTCTCTGGTTAGGTATAGGGTGGCTTCATGGTTCTTGGCTAAGTATTCAAATATTTATATCCCTCTGGACTGCCTAGTAGGAGACTTAACTTTGGTTGATCAACATCGTATTCCTTCGAGGTCTGTATTGACTGAGTCTAGGTGGTGTCCCCCCCCCCCCCCGGGTTTCTTTAAACTTAATGTTGATGGGGTTGTTAATTTTGACTGGAGATGCAGTGGTATTGGTGGTGTGCTTAGAGATGCTGATAGTAAAAGGTTGGAATTTTTCTCAAGTTCGACTGAACCAGGCCCCCCGATCCTTGCTGAGTTAAAAGCAATTCATGCTGGGTTAGATTTGTTTTTGAAATCGGCATGGAGGGATAAAGGAAGTCTAATTCTAGAGAGAGATTCCTACAATGCATTAAAGTGGATTTCCAATCCGGAGACGTGCCCGGATCTTAATGTTCATTTGGTTAGAGTTATAGCTAAGTTAGTTATGGAGTTCAATGTTATTACTAGGCTTGTTAACAGATGTAATGGGGAAGCTGATCGGTTAGCTAAATCAGGCATAGGATACTAGAAGGTTTTGTGTTTTGTTTGTATTTGGTGGTTGCCTTTCGGGTTGGTTTAAAGAGCTTTTCTGTTGTATTTTATGTTCTGAACTGGTTGTATCTTTTTTTTAGTAATAAATCTTTGGGCACTCTTTTCCTCCTTATGATCATTGAGTTTTTAGGAGCATGATTGTTAAGAAGGGGGGTTTTAATGAGGCCCTATTCCTATTAAAAAATAAAAGAAAGTTGTTTCCCAATTGTCAAGTATCTAAAACACCACGAATTACATTGTTCTTGAATTAACATAAAACTTTGCCTAAATAGTCAAGTTCTATCTGTTTAAAAGAAAAGATTTATTTGTTGGGTCAACTAGGAGTCATTGCTGGCTGAGCAAAAAAAGAAAAGGAAAAAAATCATTGCTTTTTAACTCCTGTTAAACAGTAACTTCAAGCTAGATTAATGACCATTGTTAATCTAGAATGGTAAAATGCGGGTGGGATATTGTAAAATTTATAATCCGATTGTTTAACTTAGTTGGAATAGTTTCACTTGCATTTTTTCAAACTTGTACCATTTTTCTTAGTAGATTTCCATGTATTTTGTTCGCTTCTGCTCTTCCCCAGACATTGTACATTTGTTTTTCCAAGGCATCTCTGACTTATTTGATTGAGTCATGCCAGATTAAATGTGATTTCATTTCTAACCTTTTGTTGATTATTGGAATAAATGTTATTATATGATTATTTTTATGCTAAATTGATTGAAGTCGTTAAAAATATATGAAGCTTGTCTTTTTAGCTCACTGTGTTGGAATGACTAATTAGTTTGAGATTTTCCATTCACGAATATAGACAGATTAGTTTAAAATTTTTGGTATCTTTGATGAATTCCGTGTTAAAGATGAATCGCCGTGTCACAGTTTATATTGACGCTGAACTGATTTTCTTGTTGCAGATAGAGTCCTTATCAGTTGCTTTCCGTGGACATGATCTTGTTGTTGATTCAACATTGGAACTTAACTATGGCAGGTATTATAACCTTAGTATAATCTTGTTTGAGACTTTTATCTCATGAGACCACTTTCAGTTTCATATCATTTTTTTTCAGGCGCTATGGTTTTCCTGGATTGAACGAATGTGGGAAATCCACACTGTTGACTGCAATAGGATTGCGTGAACTTCCAATTCTGGATTGACACAGTTCAACATTATACTCACAAATTATACAACTTTGTTGATTTTTTTAACAATGTTGAACTATATTACATTTCATTTTAATGTTTTTAAATTTTTGATTTATTTATTTTGTTAAATATTTCTACTTAATTCGTGTCGTAATTAAATTTTAAATTTATTGTTATTGGATAATGCTACATCATATTAAATTTGATTAAATTCATAGTTTTTAGAATCGGACCGGTTAGCGAACCGGTCATGCTACCGGTTCACTGGTTCAACCGGTCGAACCGGTCCGACCGGTCGGAAGAACCGGACGACGTCATAATTATTTAAAAATTAAATAAAAATACTAAAAATATTTAATAAAAAATAATTTTTTATATCACAAGTCATATTCAAAGCAAGTCATAACATATATAAGTTAAAAATCATAAAATCAAGTGAAACAAAATGATTCAAATTAACTACAACATAATATTTAAGGTAAAATATTAAATAATAAATATAATTATATAACTATAATTAAAAAATAAATTTGGGGTTAAAAAATTATAACAAAATGATATTGTTTGATTTAATTTTTTTTAGAAACAATCCCACATGGCTAAGAAATATAGAAGAGCATCCCAAAAGTCTAAAGAGAAAATATGATAACAAAACAATCTCACATTGCTAAGAAACATAGAAGCGCATCACAACTAATTTCTATAAATAATAGAGGTAATTTGACATTCAAAATCATAGAGCATTTTGGTGAGCATTGAGTGAACTATTCTTTCACTTCAATCAAGCTCGAATTTTAGGCTTGAATCGAGCTTCTAAATTTTTTTTGAGTTCAAGCCTTTTTGAGTTCAAGTTTCAATATTATATTTCGAGTTTGAGTTGAACTTGATAATTTTTAGCTTGTGAGTTTGAGTTGAGTTGAGCTTACTTTTAAAGTTTTCAAGTTCGAGTTGAGCTCAGCAATACTCGAGTTCGACTTGGCTAGTTTAACAAACGACGTTATTTGGTTTAATTTTTTTTTTAAAAACAAATTTCTTGGTTTTTCTCGGTTTTTTCCGGTTTTCAGCCGGCCCGGTTCGAACGGTTCAACTTGGCTAGTTTAACAAACGACGTTATTTGGTTTAATTTTTTTTTTAAAAACAAATTTCCTGGTTTTTCTCGGTTTTTTCCGGTTTTCAGCCGGCCCGGTTCGAACGGTTCAACGGTTCTGGCCGGTTCACTAATAGCGGTTCAACCGGTTTAGATTGAACCGGAATAAGCAACGGTTCCCGGTTGAACCGGCCAGTCCGGTCCGGTTTTCAAAACAGAGATTAAATTTGAACAGAGCAAAGAACAAAAATTTTCAAATCAATTTTTTAGCGGCGTTTGTAAAAAATGCCACTATAGGACAAACTCTTGCGGTGTTTGGGGTAGAAATGCCACTAAAGATGTACACAATTTCGGTGTTTGTCAAGAAAAATGTCACTATATACATAGTTAATAACAGCATTTTCCGTCAAATACGCCACTAAACATCTCAACATATAGTGATATTTGATAGGAAAAATGCCACTAAAGATAAGGTTATTTATGGTGCTAGACAGAAAACGCCGCTATATATCATGACAATTAGCGGTGTTTGACATAAAAAAACGTTGCTATATATATCAACCTTTTGCGGTATTTATTACTCACAAACGTCGTGACATGTTACGACGTTGGTTTTAGTGGCGCTTTTTCTAGTGTCGGGAGTGTTTTTAGTGGCACCTAAAAACATTGTTATAAGCTTAAAAAACGCCGCGAAAGACATGTTTTGTTGTAGTGGTTAAAGGAGTTTCATTTTAGGATTCTAACATTAATGTAGTGTATTTCTAATCCTTTGTGGTGTTAAGGTTGTCATAATCATGAAGTTTTGTTGAGATTTGGGGTTTTTAAGCATTTTTGGGGTTTTATGAATATCATGATTAGATGACGAAATTGATGTAAAGAAAGTGTTTTCATGCCACTTTAAGGCCTTAAGTAACTTCATAAAGCTTTAACACATTATCAGAAACCAAACTAAGACCTTTTGGGTGATTTTGGGTGTTTCTCGAGCTTAAATAAGACATTTCTAGGTTCGAGTATTGATATTGGATGAACAATATCAATATTGGATGAACTGGGTCGATACTGGATGATCTGGGTTGATTTAGGGCATTTTATAAGGGGAATATCGATATTGTTACCCTGGTATCGATATTGAAGGTAACAGTATCGATACTATAGGGTAAATTTTGCAATCTAGTAGTTGTTTTTGCTACTGATACTCAAAGGGGTATCGATACTTGACCTAGGATATCGATACTGCAAGTAGAGTATCAATACTACCCATATTGAATGGTTATATTTGACCTCGTTAAGGCTAGTAAGATTCAATGATAATCCAAAATGGTAGAACTTAGTCCGTGAAAACGTAAATGGCTAAAGAGGCCTGAAAACACTAATAAGAGTGGGTTACAACCGAAGTAACCATATTAAGTGTAATATTTCTGAGTTTCTTCAATAAAAAACGTATTGAGTAATTGTGAATGAATGATCATTTCAAAAGATGTGTCAACGAGTGAGATGATGAACGACGTGACTAGAGTGATAGTAAAATACGAGTACTACCTGGATACTTATAATCAAAGATGTGTAAGTTACCTTACCAGTTCAAGGGAGAACTAATGGGAAGTATGATAGGAAGTATGATGGGAAAGACTAAGGAGTCGTTATCAATGAACTATACCCGAAGAGAGTGTTGGGTTAGTTATAATATACCAAGTGGATAGCAATGGTTATGAATTGCCCTAAGGGCATAAAACACTAAAATACTAATAAGCTCTTAAATAACGTTCTAGGATAGAAAACGAACGAGATAGTAGTGAGTGAGGGAAAGATCTCACCTATTTGTGTTGTAACTGATAATAATGACAAGATAATCATGTGATAATAATGTAATGATAATGATAAATGTGTCATAATCATAAGAATCTTGTGAGGTAAGATTCCATAAGATTAGCCTTTGTATGACGCTCGAAACAGAAAGGATACATGAGTTACTATAGTAGTATGACGATCGTCTTGTGTGTGCAAAATATATGGATATACACAAATCAGTGCTTGGGCACTTTATATGCTAGTTGGATGTCGTGTCGATGTTAAGTGACTCGATCATATCCCGAGTACTCTAGAGAAGTAGACTAGCTTGGTGAGGTGCCAATGTTGTGTGACCCAGACCTAGCCTGAGGTAATGGAGAGGTACCGATGTTGTGTGTCTCGGACCCAGCCTGAGGTAATAGGGAGATATTGATGTTGTAGTTTCCTTAGTAAGTAAATAGGGGTGTGAGTTCCGTGATGCATTGTGACCCCGAGCTAAACCATGATGTTTACTTATTGTTGTATGATTGTACCTAGTGTCCTTGAAATGCTGGGAACTATCATTATGTTTTGCATGATGATGCATTATAAGATGATACTGGGTTAGAGACTTAACATATGTTTATTCATGGCGAGGCCCTTAGCTGAGACTAAGGGAAGCGTGAGACTTACACTAGAGGTGTAGGACTGTTGAACCTTAAGTAGGTAGCACTTGATTAAGATCATGCATGTACCTACTCCTTATTTCCATGTCTTCTAGCATACTTATGTTTATGAGATTCTTATGCTACTCTAGATTAGTAATTATACTATTGTGCTTTGTAAGCTTAGCGTTTGGATGTTTTCGTTCGCAAGTTAGTATATTGAGTTATTTGAGGAGCACCGTCGTAGCAATATTTCCTCACAGAGTATTGGTTGATTACTTGTTGTGGGCATGTGTATTCATAGGACCCTTACTTATGTACCATGAGTTGTAAACTTTGAGTTGTATTAACTGATCTAATATGTGTCATGGAGCTCCGATTTATAAAAATGATTTTATTACTATTATTGATGTTTTTTATAAATATATTGTCCCTTTAAATGAAAAAATGATTAGCCACTTCGGTGGTTTCGTGTGACATTTAAATCCTTCGAAATTTGGGTCAGATCGGATTAGGGTGTTACAGGTAATGCCCCGAGTATTAGTACCAAATTTACATTCGATGTTTTAAAAATTAACCTAGTATTGATACCCTACCTAGAGTATCGATATTTCTCCCTTGTGATATCGATACCCCTCTAGTACCGATACTGAATTTGGCTACTGAAATTTAAAATCAACCTCAGGTGTCGATATTATACCTTAGGTATCGATACTTGAAGCATAATATTGATACCCTTTTAATAGAGTATCAATACTACTTTACCAAAACCCCTAATTTTGACCCTTTATATGAACAATATTAGTATTGTTCTTCCAGTACCAATACTCCAAATCCAGAAAACTCTGTTTTTCCATGAAAAGTTATCTCATTTTTTTACCCAAAACCCTCTTAAAGCCCTTAAATGTTAATTAAAACTTATGTAAGTTCAATGGGGTCATAATAGGTCATTTTTATGCACGAACAACATAAAAAACACTCACCCCTTATATGAACACATATGCACTCATAATGCCTCATACACTTATACAAGCAAGGAAGCTACACATGATGATCTGCAAGCATTATAGAAGGGTCATAAGTGAGTTACCTTAAATGCTTTTCTTTACCCTTGCTATTAGAGCCTTCACCCAACTTTTTCACTAATCATAAGTAAAGAAAATGAATTATTAACTCATTTAAAGTCTTCGGAAAAGTGAAAAACGTGATTTTCAAACATTAAGAATGAACTATAACTACTCTTAGGCTTTAAACCTCAAAATCCTTCTAAAAAAAACCCCACTTTGGCCACCATGGCCAAACCATGAGGTTGAGAGCCTAATGGAGAGCTTTAAGGGTGGAGATTGCTCCTCTTATCTTTCCAAATTTGGATTAAAGGTGTTGGCTTACAAAGTTCTTACATTTACCCTTTCCACACTTGAGAGAAGAAGATGGAGAGAAGATAGAAAGACGACAATAAAGGTTAGAAAAAAATAAATGAACGATGTCTAGCTTTCTCTATTTTCTCTGCTCGTTTACATCACCATTCTTAATTTATTTTCATTCTTTACAAGACTTTAAGGGATAATTACTTTCCCGATCCTTCATATTTTAAACCCATTTAAAAAATATTCTTTATACACTCATGAGGGCCCAAGCCAAGCCCAAACAACCTCAATAAAGACCCAAAGCTTCTTGGTGAACACTTGGGCTTACTTACAACCCACATGAGTCAACTCAAAACTACTAGTTTGGAAGTTGGGACATTACGCTATCTGGACGGTTTGAGGAGAAGCTTAAAGAGTTGAAAACAAAAAGCTCTCAAGGTTGTGACTATATAGCCAAAATCAAAAAAGAAATGTGGACAAAGACATATGATGGGGCAATGATATAGTAATTTGACCACCAATTTAATAGAGATTATCAATTTATCTTTAAAAAAGACACGTTATTTGCTCATAAATGTCATCGTGAAAGCAACATATTATCACTTAGATAATCTATTTGCACATCTAAAGAAATAAGCCCTTGTTTGGATGAATAATGAGCATATTATCAACCTTAAAATTTAAGACAAGCATAGACAAACTAGTAGTCACCTCAAACTCGATGTTGATTTTAAGTTTTTCGTGTACCAATCAAAATTTTTATGTTACATAGATGTTGTAACATGTGGGAGGTATCTTGTCAAACTCAATTTGAGTGAATTTGAACACAAGTAATGTGATTATCGCTTCTTTCAAACATTCAAATATCCATGCCACACGCTATAGTTGAATGTTTATATGTCAAAATAGATTACATAGCATACATGGACGATGTATTCCATCTTTCTCATGTCTAAGATATATGATTATGAGCACCTTATGATAAAAAATGAAAGAGAATGAAATCAAGTGTAAACTTGGTCTATAATTCTACAAGATCCTTCATTTTTAAGTGGATCTTCTGATCGTCTGAAACCATCTTAGATCAGTACCAATATGAATATTAGAGAGAAGATTAAACAACGTAAACAATGTGGATACTACTAAAACTCATCCCACAATTCTTATCATTATTCATTAATTCTTATCATTTATAATTTTACACAATTCTTTTCATTTTAATTCTTTCATAGCATTTTGTATCTTCATATACAAATATTTCATTATATTTAAACAACAAAAATTATTTAAAAATTAAACCATAAATTTGGAATCATCACTATCTAATACAATTAAACACTATGAATACTCATACCCTAAAAACTCTAAAATAAAACTTTAAACTATCATTCAAAACGCTTAATTTAAAGACCCTAAAATTACATAATTCTAAACTATCTAAATTGAAAGCAAAAAATGACAAAACTCATGAAAAGCATGTTTTATTTTCTAATAAATTATGTTACGTAAGATAAAGGCATATCATATAAAATGTACTTTTTAAAAAGTATATTTTATAAAATGTACTTTCATCTTACGTGACACAAAATAATATTGCATGTATAAATAATCTCTAAAATATACTATAATCATGAATAAAACAAAGTATATTCGATAAATAAAGCCATTTATAATCATTTTAGAAGTTTTTAATATATATTTATGTCATATCCTTGACTTTTGTCAATGAATAAAGAGTCAACGTCCGAAGCCAAAGCACCAAATGGTGGAATTACATATTTCCTCTAGAAGATGTGACATTTGAGATCAACGTCCCATCCTAGACGGCACTGACTTAGGGCCCCTCTAAGTCCATTATAGAAAATTTATGCGTTTAAATTCTTTAAGACGTACCCAACTCTGTATTTATGGCTATTTCTATCTCTATATTTTAATTTCATCATTTATGGTCATATGCTCTTTTAAACAAGAATTCAACTCAGCCTTTCTTATTAGTTCCATCAAGTAATTTCATATGACTTATTTCTTTATACATGTGATGTTATAATAAATACATCTTGACATTTTTGTACAGTCTCACACACACACGCAGATTTTAAAAAATGCATTCAAAGTGTATCCTCACAACTTATTTCAACTTAACTTTTAATGATATTAGTCCTTAAATTTAAATTACATTCAATAAAAAAAGTCTAAGAAACTAATTTAAGTCTCTTTTAAAGGTAAGGTCTATTCAGGTTTTGTCCAGAACTGCAAGTATGAAAGCTGATAATTTCTTATTAAAGATGTTTTTCCCAAGTTGTTTTAGTTTCAAGAAGAAATCAACGGCTGAAAATAGCTCCAGGGTCTCCCCGAGTCCGTCGTGTGATGGATTCGAGAAGCCGGTCGATAAGAAATGGTGGATTAAAAGGATTTTCATCCGAAGGAATCATAGAAACCAAGAAGATAGCAGGAACAACAGTAGAACAAGCAGGTAGTTTTGTTCTCTTTTTCCAAAATTTATCTATATATATATTTATATATACGCATATATGACTGTTAATCATGGTGCAGGGATGCAAAAAGAAGTTCCTTGCCTGGTTGCTGGCGATTCTTGGTATCCAAGAAAAGATAGCAAAGGGAAGAAGAAGCAAACAATTAGACAGTTTGTGTAGCCTAAAATCATATCTAATAAAACAGAATTCATTGAATTGCTTTTTACTATTTTTTTTCTTCTAATTGATATTTTAGTTTATTACATTATGATTCTTCAAATACATTGTTATCTAAGAATCAAATGTATCAAAAGAATGTTAGCAAAAGGCTAGCATATGCCTAGAGCTGTGCGCTGAGGAGTTCGTTCCAGGTGTCTGGAATACCAGGCACGCACCAGTGTCAGCAGTCATTGGCTTTTTTACCGTAATGTGAAATGTGAGCCTCGTCACTGAGATCGGATAGAGCGGTTATATCCAAAATCTTCACCCTGGTGCCCTCAACAGAAGCTGCAACGATCTTGTCTATTGATTCCTCTTGTAGGACTTCACTCCCTCTAGTCATTGGAACAGTGTTATCGCAGGTACCACCGCTGTTCCAGTCGCCTTTAAAAAAGTGCCTTGGCGATGTTGTTCTGAAGAAAACTTGTACGTTTGGATTTGATACCATCTTAGAATCAAGCCATGTTACTATATTTTTCACTTTAAAGATCCTGGTGTTCTCGTTGTTGAGATTTCTGTCTCGGACTGGCGCCCCGTTCACGTACATCACCTCTTTATCCATGTTCATCATATGTTTGCTCCAATGGTGAGCTGTATTAAGGACTAAGACATTGAGTCGGTCGATGTTTTCATGAATGAAAGCAGGCTGATAATCCAAATGCATGGTATAAAGGGTATCTGGATCGGTGGCATTAATAGGCTCTCGGTCGCACAGCCTTTCTGACCAAGAATGCAGGATTGCGGTATTTGTACTCCGAAATCGATAAGCCCTGCCATGATGATGGATACCTCAATTGCGTAAGAACTGAAGGAAACCTTATTTGTCTGCAACATCTTCAACATCGGAGCTGTCTTGTCCCCCTTTGAGCATGCACATCATGGATTGAAATTGTTCTCCACTCAATGAATCTCCTATAAAGGCAATTATTGTCTTTCATCCTGTTATATACAATATGATATTATTCTTTAGACAACTCTACCATTCACTAAGATAAAAACACTTGCAATGGAATTCTCTTAGATTTTATTCTATATATAAGTTCGCATTAAACTCCTCACCTTTCCAAGAAATGGGAGAACTCAAACTCTGGCATTTTACAATCTACGGACTGCCATCGATAACCTTCGTAGGAGAAATCTGTTCGATTCGTGAGTCTGCATGCCCAATTTCTTTGTATGTACTTGCACTGAACAGGATATAAAGGTGGCCCGCTGTCAGCTACCCATCAACCCTTTGCATAATTACGGACTGCACATATGGATATAAACATAATAAAATTGGCTTCTCTGAGATAATGCATCCTTTAGTTATATTACAAGAACTTGCATAGCATTTGCATATGTACCTTTCGTTGCCATCGAGGCCGTACTATTTTTGGAGTTACCATCTGTTAACTCGGTTTCAGAATCATCAACATCTGCCTCAGGCTCTTTCCTTTCTTCTTCCTGAAGTGTTTGAGACTTTTCTCCATCAGTATTCATCTCAGCAGGCTCCAAAGACTCTGTGGAGTTATTCAGGTCGGGATGAAAGCATGCTGGGGTAGGTGAAATGCGAACCTGTGGTTACCGGCTGTAGTATACATATAGATACTGAAATTTAACAACTTAAAATCATTGCAGTTAAGTTGAACAAACCTGGAGGTGGAAGGAGAGTGTCAGAGCGATGTTGAGTCGGTATATATGTATAAGTCAAAGGATTTCTTTCCCAATCCAAAAGAAAAAGAGTCATCAAAACCAGAGTAAGCAGAGCAAGAGAGAGATGTTTTCCTGTAATTCTGAAAGCACCTTCATTCATATCCATTTCTGCACTGCAAAAATTAACAAATTCATTATGATGAATCAGATCCTCGGTACCAGAAACTTAAACAACAGTCAACATTGCACTATGGTCACTGTTTTTGCGATTTTGATCCTCTCGACTGGCGATATTCATCTTCGGTATGTTGAATGCATGTAGGAAAGGTTAACAAGGAGAAGAAATCATGGCATATGGAGAAATGTTAAAAGAGGAAACAAGGATGAACCTAGTTAGTAGGAAGTGCCTCCTCTGCTCTCCTTTTGTGTTGGATATATTGTATATCTCAATTCCACATAAAGATGTAGAGATATATATTATGAATAAGCTTCAAATACATGAAGATTCTTTTGAAATAAGTTTGTGTAGCATTTTTATGTTGAAAAAGTAATGAAAAGAGATATTCAGAATTTAATTCTTAATTAATATATTTTTATGTAATATATAAATGTGATTTCTTAATTGATGTCGACATTTGTCAAGATTACTTCTGATTCATAATGATAAAATTAATAATATGAAAGCCCCATAGGCTTATTTTGACACACGATTCAAATTAAAATACAAAATGTAATATCAATAACGAAATCTAATACATGTGAAAATCTCTTTGACACAGTTTTAGAGTGGAAACCAAAACCTGGAGCAAAAGGAACTCACTTGTGGTTAAGGTAATACATGTACATCCAATACGATACAATAGAATACAAACTAGATCATATGCTGAATTGCATGTGTTTATTTGTTGGGTTCGGTAGACATAAAACTGGTTGAAAAATACAATTTTGTTTCAACAATCGGGTGAAAATTAGGATATGATATACCTATTCTCAAATCAATAAGAGAGAATATATAAGGTGATTCGAGTACCGGCTCAGTATTGTATCTTCGGAAAACTGCCTTCTCATGCCATACACGTGGAGGGTGCTATATCTGTGCGATAAGGATTTCGTTCCATGTGTCGGGGACACCGGGTAGGCACCAATGCAAGCAATCGTTGATACCCTGAGTTGGCCTAATACTGTAACCGGACATGTGAGCTTCATCTCTGAGTTCGGAAATCGCGGTTATATCCAAAATCTTCACCTTTGTACCCTTAACAGCACTCTCGATAACTTTGTCGATAGATTTGTCTTGCAATACCTGATTACCCCTACTTAAGGAAACCGTATTATTGCAAGTACCTCCGGTGTTCCAATCTCCGTTGAGGTAGTGCCTTGGAGAGATTGTCCTGAAGAAAGATTTTAGTCGAGGGTGTGACGTAAGTTGCGAATCTAGCCACCTGACAAAACTATGCACTGTGAAATTCTTAGCCTTCCCAATATCTTCAAATTCTTTATTCTCATTGGGCTTCTCATTAACATGCATCACCCAACGGTTTTGTTCAAGCTTCCCTTTATTCCAGTGGTGACCAGTATTGAGAACTAATACATCAAAACAGTGAAGGTATCGTCTTAGGAAAGCAGGTGGACGGTCCAAATGCATCGCAACATCGGAGTTTTTGTCTGAGCTGTTAAGAGGCACTAGGTCCGAGAGGCTAGCTGACCAGTAATATAAAATGGTGGTATTTGTACTCGGGAAACGATAAACCCATCCATCAGGACGTTTGGCTCCACGAGGTTTAACAAGCCCATAATCCCTCGCGGCATCTTCAACTTCAGGCATCTCTTTCCCACCTGAGACCATACACATCATGGATTGGAACTGCTGTCTGCCTAATGAGTCTCCTACAAAGGCAATTGTTTTATTCCTCATTCTGAAAATTACAACCACAGTTAGAAAAGCAAAGGAACACCTACTAAGAGAACTTAACTAAACTTAAAACCTGGAAATTTCACATAACTCTGAAAGGGCATAGAAAGGAGCGCTAACAAGAAACCATACACAAGACAAACCTTCTCAAGAATGAAAACCGGTTAAACTCTTTCATTTTACAATTCTTAGGCTGCCATCGATATCCCTCAAAAGAGAAGTCTGTCCGTTGAGTTAGTCTGCAAGCCCACATTCCCGATAACCACTGTTTACATCCAGACCCGGAATACAATGGCCGTCTGCTGTCAGCAACCCATCTCCCCTTGGCATAGTTGCAATCTGAGTGACAAAAAAGTGCAAATATTTGGTGATAAATCATAAAGGTGCCTGAAAATTTTCAATCTCATCCATTGAAGCTTCTCAAGAAATTTGAATGTTACAAACATAAATAAAACATTTAAGACTGCAATTAAAGTGCCATTCAGTGAGCATAAAAACCATAATAAGAAATGAAGAAAGAAACAGTAGTAATAAAGGACCCTGCAAATGTTTCAGGATCCCAAATTTTATTAAACTTCAGTAAAATTTATTTAATAATGTGGCATAAAATTTATAAACATTATTATGGTTTCTTACCTTATGCAAGCCATTAGATGAAAAAGAAGCATTATTCCCTATTGTTGATAATGGCCTGCTTAAGATATTTGGCTACCTAGACTAACAACCCAATTAATATTCTGTGATTTATCTGATTAGGCATATGGCCCCATTTCACAAATGTTTGTTACAATTCTATGGATGATGACAATTCCTTACTTTCATGTATTGCACTTCTGGTCAAATTCTATGTCCTCTTATCACCTCTTCCGGGAAAAATTCATCGATAAAGTTAATAGTTTGTCATTCTACAATCCAAGTTCTAAGACAAAAGAAAGCTAGAAGATTTTATAGCTCAATCAAAAAGTATAAAAAAACCTTTATGTAATTCTATCCCTCAATGAGTTTTTAACACTTGATGGATCTCAGAAGTAATGCCAGCAATATAACTTCCCTACTCTTTATCAGCTTCTTCATATTTGCAACAGGTTCGTTATATTCTTATGAAATCATACCCCTTCTAAAAACCTTTAATGCGCACATGTTTAACACTAACTAATATCTGTGGTCCTCAATTTTAGCAGGTTTAGAGCAAATGTCTGTAAAATTTCAAGAAAACGTGCATGAAAGCTGAAACTTCTAAACTAGTCACACATTAAACACTAATCAACTCTCTCCCTAACACAACTCAACAGCATAAGCTTTTGACAAACAAGTAATCAATTGTTTACACCTGTATTAAAGTGATCCAGTGGGAGAAAGAGGAAGTAGATCCCCCGATAATCTAGTTAACTCTTATGTATTGTATACTTTTCTGGTCCTTTAATCATCAAAAACCCATATTTCCCTCAATCACCATTTGATTTTGGGATTCAACCATTTTAATAAAGGCTTTCAGTAAAGCGATTTTCTTCATCTAAGCTAAAGCACTGCAATCACTAAGTGCATGTAAAAAGAATTTCTCTCTGCTGCCTTAGCATCCAACCAAACATTTTCTATTCCCATGTCATCCATAGATGTTAAAACAGACTGCTTAAAAGTCAACCGTATCAACATAGTTATTCAGCAAAATTTAGGCTGATGAACTTAAAACAAGAAGTCTAGTGGAAAGAATTAAGTTTTCATAAAGAAAGTTGGAAGATTTACTTAAAATGAAATGTTTATTCCATACTCAACCTGCATTTTGGGCGGATAACACCTCTTCATCACTATCTTCAACATCAGAAGTGAGTGTGGTAACAGATTTTGTTGATGAAGAAGGATTATGACGTTCTCTTGTCATTGGTGCTTCTTTATTAAAAATTGGCTTATTGACCTCTGTATGCCCTCTAGAGCTCCGGGAAATATTTGGTGCATTCGAAAGAACGTCTAAGTGCAACAAGAAAATTAAAGAGACAAAGGTTTAAAATTAAGTTTAGAAAAATTTTGTTCAATTCAAATATTTCATACATTGATATCTAGTAAACCGAGGTCCATATATCCATCAAATATAACCCAGCATAAAAAATGTAGTGTTGAGCTAGCTACTTATACAATTACAACCTTTATTATCCATAAGGCCTCTCATATAGCATGCCCTTGGGTTATTCATTAATCACAGCTGAAACATACTCCATAACAACCACCTAAATAGGATCAACACTGTCTTAAAAATTTTCTATTAGCATTCGGTTTGATTTTTCCCACTACCAGAATCAAGGAAATGAAAGATCATGAATCAAGTGGAAAATACTATTACAAATGTTTTCCAAGCATAGCAATCTTTTCTTCTAATCTATATCCTCTTTAACTTCTTCAAAAGAGTATATAAATAAGCACTCTCAAGACTAACAAATGCCACAATGAAATGCTACACAAAAATATGAAAGTTCAATTGAATATTAAAAGAAACGGGATGATACTTATCATTGAACATCAATGTGATTCATAGATTTCTTTTTACACCATCATATAATTTTTCACCTTCCCAGCTTTTATTTTTATTTTTGACGTCCTCTTGTGCCTTTACACTTGTAATACACTTTCAATACCATAACATATTTCAGTTTCAAATTACATTTCCAGGCATGGAAATTTCGTCCTCGCCTACCCATTTATTGAAATCCAAATCTTACATGTATTCGTAGATCGATTTTTCCATGCATCATGGCCAAAATTTATTTGAAATCACATTTTCAGGCAAAATGTTCTCTTCCCTGGGAACTAAGATTCATTCCTTCCCCTCCTCTAGTCTCTTTTTTTCTTTATAACATTACATGTTTAAACAGTCTAACGAGTTACAAACTTAAATGCTCCAATTTTTATTCTCAAACAGTAGCCAAAACAAGCTAAGTTTATATTGCTTTCATGTTCATGCTAGACAACTAAACCATTCTCCACGGAAAGCATTCAGATTTACAAGTAAAAAGATGAGGGAAACAAACCTGAAGAAGGGTGTCTAAAACGTTGTTGGGCCAATAAGAAGGTAGTAAGAAAAGGGTTATTCTCCCATGGCCAAAGCATTATAGTTACAAAACCCAGAGTAAGCAGAGCAATAGAAACATGGATTGCTTTAAGTATAGTAAATTTGCACCCTTTCATCATTATTCCTTCAACCCTTCCTCTCTAACACATTGAAACATATACTGGTGTAATTTCAACCTTATTTAAGGAGGCTTCGGCTGTGTATTGAAGAAAAACAAAAGCAATTCAACTAATATCATTATTAATTACTAATTTAAAAGGGGAAAAAACACAAACGATTAAGGGGAAAAGGCACCTGAAATTGAAATCGAGCCTCCTCTGCTGAATGCTTGTGTTCTATCTTTCAATGGATCTGCTGATATTGGCAGCGCATTTGGGTTTTGATAGTGAGATCGTTCGGCTCAGACTAACAGGACAGACAGAAAGGTTTGAGTAAACTCAACGATTAGTGCCTAAACTATGAGTTTTATTTCGTTTAGGTGCCTAAGCTTTCATTTGTTTTATAATCACGCCTAATGTTTATTTTTTTATTTTATTTTGGTGCATCACCTTAAAAACTTAGCAAACTATTATAACATAGCACCTTTTATTAGTAAATTATTCCGTTCATCACTCAGTTGTCTTTTTACTCTTATCCTGATCATTAAAGTTTAATTTTTTAATTTAATTAATTATCTTTCAAATTACTCCTAATTTAATCATTCTAACTTTCAAATATAACTTTTTTATTTAATTATATAGTAATAAAATAATAATAAAAAATTTCTTGTCACAAAAAACATTAATGAAATATATTATAGTGATTAAAACATGAGCAATTTGAAAGTTGAATAGTTAAATTGAAAATTTTTAAACTTTAGTGACCGAAATTTGTAATTATTTTTTCAAAAAATGTTTTCATTATTTTCTAATGTTTGGTTGGTAGAAAACAGATGATTCATGTAATTTATTTTCTTGGTCAATTAAATTTCCTTTGTATTTTCTAAAAAAATGGCTTACTATCTGATTTTCTAGAAGTCATTTTATAAGTTTTTCACTTCAAAGTATAAACACTCAAAGTATTATTATTTTATATATTTAATATTAATGTATTATTTTAACAAAATATTAATTATTAAATTATATTTATTGATAATTTTAGTAATATAATGTTATATTTTTATTTTTATAATTATATTAGTATAATATATAATATTATACTTTTATTTTAATAAGATACAGTAAATTATTAAGTTATTAATCAATGGGAGATAAATTACACAACATCATTCAATTAGCGTAAAATGATTTTCATTAAATATTTTTCAGGAAATGTAATTCATTTTACGAAATTCATTTTCCAGAATATGTTTTCCGTGAAAATAACGGACCCTAATTTTAACAATGGGATACTAAAATGAAACAAAAAATAAATGTTAGGTATCATTTTAAAACAAATGAAAGTTTAGGTACTAAAATGAAATAAAACTAATACTTTATATTAGGTCTCAATTTCATCCTCATTCTATTTTTTCTGAGTTTACTCCCTAAACTTTAATTTTTTTTGAAATAGGATACTTTGTATTATAAGGGATTACAAAGTACACCACCTCAAGGGCCTCATTAAAAAATCTCTCTAAACTTTAATTTTATCAGTCAGTTTACCTTATAGCGTTTAATGTTAAGGAAAAAAGGATGACTTGTTGAATCAAAATATGTTATGTGTCAAGGGACAACATTCTCAAAATAATTTTTAAAATAAAATCATAAAAACAATAAAAAATGTATTTTAAAATCTCATTTATAATTTTATAGTTTGTTCTGCATTTTATGTTTTTATGGATTTTTTTAAATATTTAAAGAATATTTCATATATACTTGAGGCACGTTTTGGCCATTTGAATAAAAATATGTATATATAAAAAAATTATTTAGACATGAATATAAATATTTTTTTATAAATTTAGAACTTGTACAACTGGACAAATAAAATGATATATGTTTTAAATATTTTTAATTATTTAATAGTTGATGCTTAGATATTATATGATTGTTGATTTTTAAATTGGAGATCTCTAAGGGAGTGTTTGGTTCAAGGATGTGGGATTCCCATGTTTAGTTGGCCGAGAATCTATTCCTATGTTTGGTTGGCCGTAAATCTAATTCCTGATAATGTTTTATTACCAAAAATAGATTTTTTGTGATATATTACCGGGAATGTCATTAACTCCCTTCCCTTAAGTATTGTAACATTACCGGTGTTTTGACTAAAATACCCTTAAATTTTTATTTTTTTTAAAAAATACTTCTTATGTCATTGAATAATAAAAATTCCACGAAGGTTAAATTACAAATTTATCCTTAAATTATTTTAGATTTACAAAAAAAATCTATAATTAAAATTTTATATGAAGTTCAGAGGTTAAAAAAATTACCCTTTCATTAAACTTTTTTATATTTTTAATTTTGTAAAAAAAAATTATATAAATATTATGAATATATTTTTTTAAAGAAAATATATAAATATTTTACAATTTGTAATATTATACATATATATAATAAGGACAATTTGGTCAAATATACATTCTAATAATCTTTTATTCTTTTAACCAAACACGATAATCTTACATTCCTGCTAAACCAACCAAACACAAAATACAACATTTTCAGTAATCTTTTATTCACAGATAATCTTTTATTCCCACTGATAATCTTACATTCTGTGAACCAAACGCACCCTAAATATAACAATTATTTTACGTAGTCAAATAATTTCTCTAAAATTACAAATTCGATCACGATGCCGTGATATTACTTTGCGCTGGATGAAGAGTAAAACGTGAAGGAAAATAGTCGATAAAAATTTCGTTAAGACATTTTCCAAGCCTCTCTTCTCCAAAGATCGTCATCCAAAATCTTCAAAGGTTCCGTCCTAGAGTTACCACCGCCACCACCATCACCTGCGTCTTCGTCACTCTCTCTCTCTCTTCGGCGGCGACAAATAAGGTAAAATTTCCATACCCGATTTCCTTCTGTTTCTACCTTTGTCTCTTTTTCCCCGGCAACAAGGTTTGGATTTCTTTTCTGATTCTCTAGTAACTTTTAAGAAAGAAAAACAAATAGAAAAAAGCATTTTAAAATTCAGTTCTTCATATTATTTATGTTTTTAGTTCATTAATCGTGAATTTATTGTGCACCCACCTTATTTCACTTGATTTGGGATCTTATTTTAGTTAGAGTTTCTTCTTTATGATTACAGAGATCTTGAGAATTTGTGTTATGGCTTCCACTATTGTAAATGCTCTCTATACAGTTCCTTCAGGTAAAGGTTTTGTGGCTCAAAACTATTTTTGTTTTAGACCAATCTCTAGTTTTTTTAAGGTTCAATTTTGGTAAACTTCAACCTCTGGACGTTCTTGGCCCCTCTAATAACATCCTTATGAAGCAACATATGCAGATTTTAACTATATGTGATGTCCTTTTATTTGGATGTTACTTGATATCAAAATTATTAAAGGCTCAAGGCGCATCGAGGCGCAAAGTGTCCTGGAGCCTTGAGGCGCGAGGAGCATGAAAGGTGCGGGATTCACGAAGGCAAGGCGCATGATATCCAAAAAATTGTAATACATGTATATATTAATGCAATCAAACTCAAATATCATAGATACCCAATATTAAACTTCAATAGAGTTCATTCTCAAACTCAAAATACCAACCTAACGTCATAAAAACTATCAACAAGCATAATCAAGTACTAAGTTTAACAAAAACATTCAACATGCACAAACAAAACATCAAATAAAGTTACTGATAATCATCATCAAACATCAAACTTATCCTCATCATCATTGTCAAGTGGTATGTCATCATCTTCCTCCTCATTCGTCTCACAATCCCCAATATCTTCTTCTTCAGTATCACTCTCCTCTAGCATAACAACTTCATCATCTTCATCTACAAGGTGTCGTCTAACTTTTTCCTTTCCTTTCGAGCTTCAACTCAAGATGATGACAACATTGTATTGCCTCAATAAAATATCATATTAGATTTTATCAACCTTTCCAAAGTTTGTTTGAAATTATTTCAATTTACATATTAATTCGCAATCGATATGTTAAATAATTATAAGTTAAAAATTTTAAATTAATAAAAAATTATCATAAAAAAGATTACATTTACATGTTAATAATATTTTGATAATGTGAAAAATTAAAAAATCACAATAAAACAAATTATGCTGAGTAAAATAATAATTATGAATTTTATCTTTTGTCAAACTTTATGTAAATTGTTGATAAATATACACGTGTTTATAAATATCATTATTAATATGATTGTCTTCTTTCACTTTCACTTTCACTTTCACTTTCACTTCGCTTCTTCAGTATTTTTCTTTGTCTCTCTGTTTTCATCTCTTCCATCACCTGTCGTAAACGGTTTTTGTCCGGGCACGAAATTTTAAATACTTGGCGGAAAAAGTGATGTGAATAAATGGTTTTTTTTTATAAAAATAATTAGGAGTCACCATCGGCCTTTTGGGTCAGGTAGGTCGATTACCTAAAAATTATCTTTTAAAAGAGTTTTTAAGAAAATATCAGATAAAAGATGAACTGATCTGCGTTTTAACCAAAAAAATCGTTCTTTTTAATAATAAAAAGGGATTCGTGGTCGGTTACGTTTAGGGAAGGATTAGCACCCCTACAACGCCCAAAATTAGTACTTTTTAATTATAAATTGTCTCTATTATTAGAAAATAAAAAAATTCAAATATATTTAATTCATAATCCTTTTATTTCAAATTTATAATTTTAAGAAAATATATTAATATATATAAATAAGATATTTATTTATTTAGAAATATCAGAAAAGAGCTTCTAGGTGCTTTAAGACAGCTCTTTTCTTCGATATAAATAAATAACTAAAACAAAAAATTTATTTTAATATAGTAAGATATTTATTTATTTAAAAATATTAGAAAAGAGCTTCTAGTTACTTTAAGACAACTCTTTTCTTCAATATTAAAAAATAAATAAATATCTAAATCATTTTCTTAATAAAATAAAATTAAACATATATAGTTCATAAATAGGATTTTTATTTCATAGAAAACAAAGAAAATAAATAAATAAATATTATTTATTATATATATTTATATGACTAAGATAATAATAAAATAATAATTAAAGTAATCATTTAAACATATTGGATTTGAAATGATAATAATACAAATTAAATTGTAATTAAATAGGGACTAAAACATATTAAAATAAATAAAAATATTAAAAATTAAAATTTACAGCCCTTATTTATAGTATTATAAAAATATAATTACTAATGATGTAATTAACCCTAATTATTAATAGGTGATTAAAATAATGATTATTAAAATTAAAGGTTCTAACTCGAATGATAAAAAGATCTAAGTGATAATAATATAATTTAGTCTTATTTAATTAATTC